ATACAAGACACCTCCACCATCACTCAAAATTACGGGCACAAGGATGGCCTTGCATCTTGAAATTATTATAAATGGGTCTAGGTATTATAAGATACAAGGGAGAGGGGGAAAATTAAGAGAGAGAAGGTTGCTACACAGGACTGAGAGACGAGCAGAGTTAAGGTGACCACGGAGTCACCCTCAGGCAGGTCGATACCTGCCACACGCACAGACTCGCGCTCACACACCAACACGGAAAGGTACACACTCTAATCTAAGTGAAAAAAGAGAGATCATTTGTAGATTAAAAAAACAAATAGGGGAGGAAATAAGACCCTGAATGACAGACGTGATCAAGAACCTGCTGGCAGCCACTAGTGACCTCCCTTCCAGCTGACTCCTTCACATCTACGGCGGAACTGACTACAAAAAGGAATAGCAGGGAAAATACCTGTTAAGATATATATATATATAATATATATATATATATATAATATATATATATATATATATATATATATATATATATATATATATAACACACATACACACACACATACACACACAAAGTTTCCAAATAATCACAAAACAAAATAAGATATTATAAGAATTAGATTTTTTTATATCTCAATAGTATTTATAATTTTGAAAAAATGTAAGACAGAAATTATTTTGGTCCCCAATTATGACACGAAAAGAAAAGGTTTCTAGGAATATGAATTCTCTACATTAACAAAATAAATGCACACACACACACACACACATATATATATATATATATATATATATATATATATATATATATATATATATATATATATATATATATATATATATATATATATATATAATTTTCAGATTTGAATCATGAGAAACAAATTTGCACAACACACATAAGAAAAAAATCGAAAATGGGAAGTAAACTCTGCGATTTATATTTTCTTTATTCCAACTCCACATTTTTTCTCAAAAGATTTTAAACGTAAATTGATTTAACATTTACTCTCTCTTAGGGCTAATTAATAGTATAAAAGGAAAAGGGACATTAACTCAAAAAAAATTATACAGGACGGATGTGGTGGGTGGTGTTGAGGAACGGAAATAACAGAGACAAACTCCAGAACGAAGGGAGGGTGCTGAGCGTGTGAGTTGGGTTCACGGCATGCAAACACCTTCCTGCCGGGGCCCCTTCCTCGCTGGAGAAGTACGCTCTGCTACCTTCATTCTATTTACTTTCACCAATAAAGATTCCTAGATGATGCTTTGTAGGGAGAGTTGGATTGAGCGTAGTCGTACTTCACCCTCGAGGGTCAGGACGGCGCTGTAATCTCCTTGATAATTCTCTTTACGACTGTTCGGTCAGTCCACCCCAAATCATGTTGACTCTTTTGTTTTTCTTATTCGTCACAGTGTGTAGATTTTAGACGTCAGACTGATGGCCCATATGGAGGGCAACCGAGCCCCAGAGGCAAGATAATCCACAGGCTGTGTCCCTCAGTGAAGCTCCAGGGATGATGCAGTCGAAGGCAGCACCAAGATACAGACTCGGAAGAGGCGCTTAATTTAACCTTTAAGAGTTTCTTGCAGCTTCCTCTCAACACTTCTACATCCACACCCCTTTCCCTTTCTCACTCACCCTCCCACCCTTTCCGCAAAAAACTTTTTTTTTTATACCTTTTTTTTTTGTTGTTGTTCTTCCAGGATACCTTTCAACCTCCTCCAGCTCCATATCCCAATACCCTTTTCCTCTTCTCGTTCTCTTGGGGTGCTTTCTAACCACCTACCCCTTCCCCTATCACCCCTACCCCTTTCTGAGCTCTGGGCTGCCTTAAGCGCCCTTCCAAAATCTGTCTCTTAAATTATGAGTCTTCAGCCTTGCCTAAAATACAAGGTGTGACCAAAATATTTCAAAATAGAGTATATTGTACGTACACTTTGGTATAGAAAGTAAAACCAACGATCTGAACGCATGTCTGATGTCTCAAAAATGTTGTGCTTAATGTACAGTCTTAGTGATGTATCACAGGTGGGATAGAGAGCAGACTTTCTTATGATGCAAGATGCTTCTTGTGGTCCAAATTTTGTTTCACATCAAATTTCTTCTCCCATGAAAGACGCAGATGTAGAAACAAGTAAATTTTTACGTTTTAATTAAATTGCATTTTAAGGAGACGAGTTGGTAAAAATTTAATGTTTTTAATGAAATGAAAAATTCTTGATGTTCCGCAATATTTTTACGTTTTCATCGATTTTTTTTTCAATATTTTTAACAAGTAAAATACTGGCAGTTCCCAAAGAAAAATTGCTGAAGAAATCCTCATTGACTCTTGGACAAAAAGAAATCCTTGTTTCCTCCAAATTCCTCATCAGGAAACACGTCCTATGGGCACTGGAAGAATTACATTCCTTTAGACTGATGCAGCACCAAACCCTTCGAGGGAAGGGCTCCTGATCTAAAGATCTGTAACTACTATTTTCTTTCTTTGATCAAATCTGATTTTCGCCCATTAACTAGACGCGGAGAGAACATGTGACTGGAGGAGCACTGCAGCAGGCCTACTGGCCCAAACAAGGCAAGTCCTTATCAAAATTATCCACTCCCACCCACGCGTCTGTCCAACCCTTTCCCGCAGCTACCCAAGAATTTGCTTCAATGCCTCAGGGACTTACCAAACCCAGCCCTTTTCACTCGTATATTTATACTATCTCGACATGACTCACGAAATCGTAATGACGCGATTACAAACCGTACCACGGGCGGGGTTAGAACCTGCGATCAGAGAGTCGTTAAACACTTTGATCACGGGTCCTAACCCCGCCCGTGGTATAGTTTATCCTACCATATTTCTTTTTAAAGCTACCCAATCTCTTAGCCTCTGTTTCCTTACTCGGCAGATTACTCTACGAGACACCTGACATGCATTCAAACACCGATTATTTTACTTTTGAAACCCATTTTCTGTTGTACAAAATACTCGTGTTTATGTATCGGAACTATTCGTTCACTCTCAGATTTACATTTATTTTTCACTGTAGATTCCTTCGACTGGTTGAGGGAAAGGAGCGAGGTGTGCAGCTGGTGTGCGAGCCATCACAAAGGCACAATAATAATGCCACTTTTTTGATCTTCGTGATTAATAATGGAACCAAAAAAAAGTTTATATGCAAGAGTATTTACATAAATCCATAAAGCCAAAATATCTATTTTAGTGTTAAACCAAAGAGACACATTCACCAGCTCGTCTTGAAATTTATGAATTAATCACAATGACGTAAAAAGGCACGAACTTGGATCTTGATCTCCCATTTAACCCTGTCCTCCAACGCCCAGTTCTGGGAGATCGAAAAAGCGACAAAATTCTTTGCTATTCACGTTTAGGTTAGGTTAAAATAACCTAACCTTAATTAGCAAGAGTTAGCTACCAAAAAATCAAAACTACATGACTGGGTAGCTAACGTCTGGCAGTGCAGGTTAAAACGTTGATAAGTTCACTCTAAGTTGGAAAAACAAACACAAATGCGGTATAATGTGATACTTTATTGACAACGTTTCGCCCACACAGTGGACTTATCAAGCCACAAGCAGATCTGTTTGTGACTTGATAAATCCTACTGTGTGGGCGAAATGTAGTCAATGAAACAAAGCATTATACTTCATTTTTTATTTTTCCATCGTGTCGGTATTTTATACCATTTATCTTCTTCATGCTAAGTTTGAGGCAGAAAAATAAGAGATAATTCAAGTCAACTTGCAAGTCCAAGTTTGTGATGTACAGAGTATTGCAATTAATTAATAAATTCTTACGAGAGTCATCTAATTTACATCATCACTGTTTAAAGAAAATAAAACTGAAAAGGGCCTGGCAGATGGCTTGCAGGAGGGCAGCCGGGGCCTCTCTAGCAGTGTGAGCGACTAAACAGCGAAGTATGACAGGGGAAGGACCTCTCAGGCAAGGGCACCTGTAATCGTCAACGTTGGTTTCAGCGTTGATGGCACTGCACACCCGCATGTAGATGACAGCGTCTACAGTTACTGACACCGAATCCAGGGACAGGATCTTTATGTGGGAAGAGTTAATAGTGGGAGTGTCAGTAGGGGAAGGGAGGGGGAGGCTAGTGGACGTCCCGTAGAATGCGAGCTAAGAGAGGGGAGGGAGTATGTAGGAGGGGGAGACATTGAGGTGACGGGAGGTGTGGAGAAAGAATGGGGCAGAGGAGAGATGGTGTGGGAGGGTCGAAGTAAACGGGTTGGCCTGGTAGTTAGTTAACCTATAATTACTCAATTGTTAGTGACAATATGTGAGTAGGTCCTACAGTCATGACTAAAGAAACAATGGATGACTTTATCAGTGACTATAAGCACTTGGACCGTCTGATGAGTCTCTCAGGACTGTATTAAGTGGATTAAGAATTCAACTGGTGAGTAAACTCCTTCTAACAGAGGGTCAGCCTTCTCTCAAAGTCACCGACACAATAATAAATCTACTGACAAAGCAATGTTATTATGAGACTAGTTGGGTACAGTTGGACCTGGTAGCAACGATCCCAAGAAACTACTCAACACTCATCCTAATAATACTGATTGAGTTATAGTTAGACCTGGTGGTAAAAATTCCAGGAATAACTCACTACTCATGGTACGATGCCCTTATACTCATGTGGACTCGACAGAAGAAATATTTGTTTGCCTGATTTGCAGTTATCCTGCAAGAACGATATATATATATATATTATTGTTTTCCAGAACATAATACACAGACTGAGAAGCACCAGCTTGACCGCAACTGCTGCAAGCTAAAAGAAAAAGGAGAATTATTGAGTAGACTTCAGGTTCTTGGTAATATCCTTATTTTTTCTCTCAAATCATTTGAGGGGTGAAATTATCTGTAATAATAAAGAATGTTTAAAGATAATGTAGCTGAAAGCTTCTCCCAAAATGAATTATATGATTTCATTTAGTAGACAATAGAAAAATATTCAAAGGAGAGCAAACTTGGGCATGCCAAGACCTGAGTGCTTACCTCTTGCGGGGGAACGTCGAAGGAAACAGTTCGAAGGTCGACCTTCCTGTAGGAGTCGATGCAGGGGATGACGAAAAAGATTCCTGGGCCCTTGGCACCTCCCTTTAAGAGACGACCGAGTCGGAAGATGACCGCTCGCTCGTACTCTTGCACTACCTAGAAGAGAGAGACGTAGTGAGGTGGAGAATCCTAGGAAAACCACACAAAATTTGCGGACGAGGAACCATGACTGGCAGATAGAGAGGAAGAAAGGGAAGGCTTAGCGGGGCTTCGTAGACTACAGTTACACGACATCGCAGGTAAATGTCGTCTGATTAGGCCAAAGCTTACCTCAGCTTACTGTATATTTTTAAGGACACCCCCCGGTGAGGGGTAAGTCAGTGGGAATGTGACTGTTTAAAAATAAATAACAAAAAGGCACAATACCGTGACTGGAACAATACACAAATAACCCGCACATAAAAGAGAGAAGCTTACGACGACGTTTCGGTCCGACTTTGTCAATGGTTCAAGTCGGACCGAAACGTCGTCGTAAGCTTCTCTCTTTTATGTGCGGGTTATTTGTGTAGTGAGTGTTTAAGTCTAACATGCGGTTAAGATTAGGTTAGGGTAGGTTTGGATAAATTAGGTTTAGTTAGGTAAGCGTAGATTAGTGAAGATTAAACAAGAATAGTTTAGAATAAGTTAAGTTAGAGCATGTTAGGTTTAGTTAGGTTATACTGATAGGATAAACTATTTTGGCCTAGGATTAAATACGCTTGATTTAGTTAAGCTAAGTGAGGTTAGGTCATGGTCAGTTATCTGAGATAACATTAGATTATATTATTTAAGCTTAGGTTAGGTGAGAAGGTAAATAGGTAAACTTAGGTAACGTGGGGTAAGTTTAGGTGCAGTTAGCTTTGGTCCAGGCTTTAGTCTAAAGCCTAACGGCTGAACTGTGATCATTAAGGCAGCGTATTACGTATATACCACTAGTCAAGAATACTTAATTTCCTCAAAACACACCTGGTTTACGTCGGGTTATGGATCTACTGTGGCCGCGGAGGATATTCCTCTTATACGAGTTCTAGTATCGTCTGCATAGTAAACAAAGGCGATGTATATACATAAAGTACAGATAATGTCGAATCAAGTAAGAACCAGAAATAAGGGTTTTAAATTAAATAAATTTAGATTTAGAAACGTAGGTAAGTACTGGTTTTCAAAAACGTGTCATGCGTGGAACAATCTGCAGAGTAGGGCAGTGGTGGGCATAGTTCCGCTAATCCGCTAACAGCGGGACTAACAATTTGTTAACACAAGGAGAGTAGTCTGGTGGCAAAATTGTGTCTTATCTAATGAATGAGACACTTGTGCAACGCTTGGGTATCTTTATACTGGAAACGTTTCACCAGCCAGTGGCTTCCTCGGTCCTGAATAGAGAAGAATGGTGGAAGATCAGAAGTGTGAGAAAATTAGTCCCTCAACCTGGGGTCGATGGTTTTCTGAACCATTTATCTACCGAATCTTATCTACTTGACAGAGTTAAGTACAGATATAAACCGAGAGAGAGAAAAAGAGAGGTAGGGAAGACCACAGACAAATAAAAGGGCTCACAGAAATCTATTTAGAAAAAAGAAGCACATTGAAAAATTATTAGCAAATAAACAAATAGGCTAGTATACATAGAATTTTTTTTTATTTCTCCCAGAGACTGATAGGAGATAGCAGACATGGAAAGGCAGAGAAGAGAAAGGTTAAAAAAAAAAATAAACAGACGGGGAAGTTTTACCCACAAGAGTTTGCGAGTATATTGGACCAGTCTGGGAGTCCCATCAGAGACGCCTGGGGCACTCGACTTGTGCATCAGCTCTCTTAAAACAGTAATCTCGAGCTCGCCTTGAATATGTATTTACCTCCAGGGAGTCCACAGTGCCTGGCCAACCTCCGCAATATCCCCGTCGACTTCCACACCCGCCCTCCTAGACTCCACAGTACTCTGCGCTCCTTAACAGACCCTCGCAGATTCCACAGTACCCTGCGCTCCCAACGGACTCGTACAGCGACCCTTCACAGAACCTCCACAACAACCTTGCAAGTCCAAACACAACCTTGTGCACCTAACCAACTGATGAACCTCCACAGTTTCCCCCTTAGACCTCTTGATTACTTATCTGCACTCAGCAGTTCCTCGCTGCTTTTAAGTGTCTCTCTGTTCAACAGTGCCACCCTGCGTTTAACAGTGCCTCTGTAAGTTTAAGAGTGCCTCGCTGCGTTTATTCTAACAATTTTTCGGCTCTTATGGAGTCTTCAAGTACATGTGAAAACTTTCAATGACTTCCTCACTGTTCCATAGCGCCTCACAACCTTCTGTGTCCTGATGTGCTATGATCACGAGGCTTCAGTACCGGTGAACTTACACAGTGCCTCGCAAACCTAATGCGGAAGACTGTCTAAGTGTTCGGTGAAAGGTGACAGGTGTCTTCCCCTCCAACCCCCCCCCCTATCCTCAAACATCAGCAGTAAACAATTTAGGAGGAGTTGTTATTGTCTGGTTAATCCATTAAGATCCCCCAGTACATTTTGTTATAAAATTTGAGACACTGGCATCCCGTATGAGTTGATTAAAAATACAGCTTTTTTTTTAAATTCTTTTGTTTATGCAAGGAAATGTTTT